TTCTAACTTGACTTTCTGTTCCATGAATAACTCCTCTATAGAGGGAGTATTCTCTCCAGTGCCATTTTGACCCATATCCCCTTGACTGTGGCCACTGTTGTTCTGTTTTGTATCTGTGCACAACAGGAGAGGGCCTGAGAGAAAAGGCCAAACCTGGGAGACTGCGTCTTGCCAGCCTCACCACCAAGCCACCCTCATTAATGTTTTAAGTTTGCCATTCCAGCTGCCCCTCATTAATGTTTTAAGTTTGCTTTCAGACATCAATGTATTTTTAATTATTTTGTTCATTCCTAACTTTCAATATAGTTATCAACTCACTCTTTTATCTATTTTTGTTTCTTATGATGCACAGATTCCAGCAGCCTAGGTGTTTTCCCATTGTCTTTGGCCTCACTTCTCATCCATGCTGCTTCTAATTTTAAAATTGGGGAGTTCCAGCCAAGATGGAGGTGTAGGTGGATACACTGTCTCCTCACACAACCAAAAGAAGGGCAACCACAAATTTAAAAACAAAAAATGACCAGAACTGCCAGAAAACTGAACTGTATGGAAGTCCAACAACCAAGGAGTTAAAGAAAAAACATTCATTCGGACTGGTAGGAGGGGTGGAGATGGGCAGCAGGGGTGGAGAGGATGTGTGGCAAGGCAGTGGCTGGAGGACTGGGCTGTCCCACATTCCCATGCACATAAACTGGGAGGAACAACTAGGGAGCCAGACAGACTGCACAACCCAGGGTTCCAGCACAGGGAAATAAAGCCTCAAAATATCTGGTAAAAAACTGTGGAGGGTGTAGTGGCAGGAGATACTCCTAGCCTCACAGGAGAGTGCACTGGATAGACCCACAGGGTCCTAGAACATACATAAACCCACCCACCCAGGAATCAGCACCAGAAGGGTCCAATTTGCTTGTGGGTAGCAGAGGAAGTGACTGAAAGCCTACAAAGGGCTAAGCAAGTGACACTGTTCCCTCTCAGACCCCTCCCCCCCATATAGCACCACAACGCAGCAACATGGGTTGCCCTGCCCTGGCGAATACCTAAGGCTCCGCCTCTAATACCATAACAAGCCTTGAGACAAAAAGAAATATGGTCCAAATGAAAGATCAGATCCTTTGAGCTCTGAAAACAGAACTAAGCAATGAAGAGATAGCCAACATAAGCAATGAAGAGATAGCAGAGTTCAAAACACTGATAATCAGGATGCTCACAGAAATGGTTGAGTATGGTTCACAAAATAGAGGAAAAAGTGAAGGTTATGCAAAGTGAAATAAAGAAAAATATACAGGGAACCAACAGTGAAGGGAAGAAAACTGGGACTCAAATTAATGATTTGAAACAAAAGGAAGAAACAAACATTCAACCAGAACAGGATGAAGAAACAAGAATTCAAAAAAATGAGGGGAGGCTTAGGAACCTCCAGGACAACTTTAAACATTCCAACATCTGAATCATCATAGGGGTGCCAGAAGGAGAAGAGGAGGAGCAAGAAATCGAAAACTTATTTGAAAAACATAATGGAGAACTTCCCCAATCTGGTGAAGGAAATAGACTTCTAGGAAATATAGGAAGCTCAGAGAGTCCCAAAGAAGTTGGACCCAAGGGAGCACACACCAAGGCATATCATAATTACAGTAGCCAAGATTAAAGATAAGGAGAGAATCTTAAAAGCAGCAAGAGAAAAGGAGACAGTTACCTACAAAGGCATTTCCATAAAACTATCAGACTATTTCTCAAAAGAAACCTTGCAGGCAAGAAGGGGCTGGAAAGAAGTATTTGAAGCCATGAAAGGCAAGGACCTACATCCAAGATGACTCTATCCAGCAAAGCTATCATTTAGAATGAAAGGGCAGATAAGGTCAAGTTAAAGGAGTTCATCATCATCAAGCCCTTATTATAGGAAATGTTAAAGGGACTTATCTAAGAAATAGAAAATGATAAAAAACTATGAACATTAAAATGACAACAAATTCACAAGTATCAACAAATGAACCTAAAAAAAAACCCAAACAACTAAGCAAACAGAACAGGAACAGAATCATGGAAAAGGAGATCACATGGAGGGTTATCAGCGGGGAGGGAGAGGAAGGAGAATGGGGGAAAAGGTACAAAGAATAAAAAGTATAATTGACAGGTACAAAATAGACAGGGGGAGGTTACAAATAGTATAGGAAATGGAGAAGTCAAAGAACTTATATGTACAACCCATGGACATGAACTAAGGAAGTGAGGGGAATGTTGGAGGGTGGGGTGGTGCAGAAAGGAGGGGAATAAAGAAAAAAATTGGGACCACTGCAGTAGTGTAATCAACACAATATACTTTAAAAAATAAAATTACCCTGGGCATATAAGGCTTGGTCTAAATGACGAAAGAAATTTATACATCCTTCTTTTCATGGTAACCATATACACCTCTGGATCTGCAGCTATACTTAGGTCTAATTGAAGTTTGGTTCTTACAGTGAGATTCTTATAGTCATTTCGTAATGATAAGTTTAAAAAACTAAACCTTGTAAATTCTTAGCTTCTTCATAGCCCCTCCCCAAACCCCTGGCCATTTCTACAGTGAAATATAAATTCTTACTATGGTGACTTCTAAAAAAAGAAAACAGCTGAAAACAGCTGTATGTTCAATATGAATGGGTTTTGCATTAATAATGTAGCTGCCTCATTTGCAACAGAAATATATTTTACATTAAAAAATATGAAAAGGGACTATAAGATAACATATATCTTAATATTAAGTATCTAATAGGATTAAGCAAAAAAAAAAGGGAAAATACATCAGTTTCAGAAGAGTCTTAGTAAACAATATCTGCTGAATAGTAAAGCATCATATTGCAATAATGCGGTGTTGTGTGAATGAAATTTTAGCCAAATTTCTCTTTTGGGGTGAGAAAAAAATTTTTAAAGTCTAAGTGTAGGTAAAGTGTTTCTTGATAAAGATAAAATGGCCGAAAAATTTTTAACAGAATCCTGAAAACATGTATTTCATTTTCTAGACTTGACCTATATGCAGAAAAGGTTGCTCATCCCTGGCATACACCAGGACTGGAGAAAACAAGAATGAAGTGGAAAAAGACGTAGGCAAGAGTGGCTCATGTTCTCAAACTCCCAAATTAGGGAAGAATACTACTGTATGTGTAGTAGGAAGAATTATCAGTTAATGGCAAATGTCAACAAGGCAATTTCAAACAGAAAAGAATGAATTTTCATAGAGTAGTTCATAAGAATAAGATACCTAGAAAGTTTAGTTGGCGAGAATATATTAACTTTAGATTTTTAAACAGTTTTGATGAATTGAGTACAGAGAGCACCTTGCACTGTAACACATTTCCTTACCTCACAGGAACTATCCCAATTTGTACTTGATCACATTCTCTCAAGAAATGTATATGATTGAATGATTTGAAGCTAGTTAGGTAAGGTTGCTTCATTCAGGTGTAATAGCTGTTTTATGTATTTGAAACACCATTAACTTGGAGCTAAAGACAAGGAGGGCTCCCCCAGAGACATTAAGTTTCACAAACATCTGTTCAAGTATCAGGTATGTGCTAGGCATCATGCTAGATGCTGAGTGCACATGCATAGGGCTTGACCATTTAACCATAAAACACGTAGTGTTGATGTAGAAATGGAAAATAGGTAGTACAGTGGTTCTTAAACAAGGAAGACTCTGAGGCCATATCCAGGTTTCTGATATCAATTAGTGATGCCTTAAAAACAATTAAGTATGACAATATCTGTGTCAGTTAATTACTTCTTTACTTTAGTATATTGATTCAAAAGTCAACCAACGTATTATAGAACAAGGGCACATTACACTTCTGAGCAAAAGAAAAATGAACAAATCTGAGCTGAGAAGTTTTTAAAAATATAGTATTATACAGTGAATTCCTACATGCACTATATAGTATATATGCCAATATAGCATAGATATAGAATAGATATCCTGCAAACATTTCATAGGGATGAAGAGTAAATAACTACAAAACTTAGTTTTTACTTTTGCTAAAAATTGAAAGTTGCGTATCATATGAAACCTGAATTTTTTCATATTAAAGAAGTCTATCATTGCTTCTAACTCAAAATGTCAGTGATAGCTTGCTGGCTTTATTTAACTCTAAATATCACTATTTGCTTACAAACACTTTCAGGGGAAAAAAGAGGCTGCTTATTTATTGTCAGTATAATTGCACACCAAAAAACAAGAAAGTGAGCTTATTTTCTCCTTCACTAATTGAATTCACTATTTAAAAAATACTTTGACAGAGCTAATTCTAAGTTTAATGGGTGAGGTATATTACAAATGAACTAATCACTATTTACAAAATGAATCCCATTACAGGTAGTCTTATGAATTACTGTAACTAAAATTATCACTTAGAAATTAGAGGTTAAAGATACATATGTGGAAAACACAAGTTCTAGTTCTGACACTGGCAAAATCTAGCTGTGTAACCTTGGACAAACAACTTATCCTCTCTGGCTCTTGACTTCCCCGTTTAAAACAAGAGGACTAAAACCAGATAATCACTGTGGTCCCTTTCAATATCTAAATTCTAGCTTTCCCTTCTCTACCTCAGCAAGGAGAAGAAAATTAAAAATCAAAATGCAAAACAAAATATAAACAAAAATACCCTGAAATGACTGCTACAGATAGAACAATTGTTACTTCAGAGTCCAGGATCTACTAACTGTGGTAGTTCATAATGTTTTTCAAGCCGACGAGGTAGGAAGGCTTAGCACTCAAGTGTGCCATAGAAGTGGCTTGGGCGTCACACTTTCCACGCAATGATGATCCAAACATCGCTGAGTTGCAGTGGAAAAGCACTAGCTGGGGAATCAGGTTTTAACTTGGTTCAGGGGCATATTTCTTAGGTAACTTAACACGTCTGGGTCTTGATTTTCTCAGGTGTCAAGTGACAAAGTTGCACTAGATTATCTCTTAAGACCCTTCCTAAAACCAAAACTCTGTTTCTAAGTGGTTATTCTCAACCTACCCTTTTGTAATGCATTGCTTCCAAAAACAGCTTGGTCTGCTTATAGATTTCTTGGCCTGTCTTGTGGAAGGTCTTGAGAAATTCTATGAACTCTTTAGACACTCTATCCGTTTCAATGCTGGTTTGCCGGTTTATGGAAGGACTGGGAGCTTTTGCTTCCTGAATTTCTGCTGGGAAAATTAAAAATAAGTTTCATTACACAGAAGAGCCATGCATAGAATTACTTTAAGTTATATAATTTAAGATTATTTAAATGATATTTCATCAAAGTTAAGCTTGAGTTTAAATTATTTTATGCTTCAATATTTGGGCAACTTTCCTACAAGTAAGCTAAATCTTCTTTATGAGTAGGAATACAAATAGATAAAACTACATGACCTAAAAGACATCCCTATTCAAATTTAAGTTGCTCTATTTGAATTTTCATAGACAAAACACATCATTCTTTGATCCATGTAATTATTAACACTAAAATGACACCACTATCTTGAACAACTTTCTCAAAGGTCTGCATGAGTTTATAAAACTAATCAAGTGAAATAATCAGCAGAAGCACAAAAATGTTCCATGACTTTTAAAATGTTAAACAAATTTTTCAAATCCATTTTACTTGCCCAAAAGGCATAGGCTAATTTATTTATGTGGAGATTAACAAGTATTTATCCACCATTCAGTTTTCAAGTCAGACTGCTCAAGGGAAAAAGTGACATTCAAAGCAGCATGCCGACAGTGACAGAGCACACAGCACAGGGGCAGGGGAAGCGCATAAAGCAACTCAGCTGAAAGCACCGGCAACTCAGCTGGCCACATAACTCCTCTCGCCTTCTATAAATACACTGAAAGGACAACGGGACCTTCCCAGAGGTAAGGGAGATATAAGAAAAGCAGAAACTATCACTTGGTCTCTTACCACATTCTAAGCCTCCTAACTTTGAACTGTGCTCCCTAATTCAAAACCTGTTAAGACTGGGGTGTCAAATTCATTTTTGCTGGGGGTCGTATCAGCCTCACAGTTGCCTTCAAAGGGCTGAAATAATTTTAGGACTGTATAACTGTAACTACTCCTTAACTGCTAAGGAGTTGAGATTACATTTGGCCCTTTTAAGGCAACCATGAGGCTGATGTGGCCCCCAGTGAAAATGGGTTTGACATCACTGGTGTATGTAATTAGGTAAACTAAGTACCTCATAAACCCATGATTCCCTTTTAACACAAAAAGACAATTAAGAAGAAAAAGTATCTTTCAAAGGTATTAAAATCAACCCATTACATGTTTCTCAGAGTAGTTTCTTATAATCTTATTTTTGGAACTTTAGTATCTGATGTACACTTTAATGATGAAGTTGAAATAAAGTTTTAATATAAAGGCACTATTCCTATTAGAGTGCCTGGTTTATTCAAAGTGAGACAAACACAGTAGATTACCTACAAGAATGTACTATTAACTGTAGCAAACTCAAGACCCCACATCTCATTTGTTACATACTAGGTTATTAAATTGTGTTACTTAATTGCTTGACTTAAACTCAAATTAAAGCAAAAACACCCTCCCCTGACCCTGCAAACTGTACTATCAAGTAGTTGGAAGAACAAAATTGCATTTTAGGTATCTTTCCAAAAATCAAGTATTTGCCCATCTTTTATCAGTGCTTCCTAATTATGATTCAACAAGTGGAAGCCCTTAAAGAATTCAACTACATTAAGAGAAAAAAATAGGGAAGAAACAAAACACAACCCCCCTCAATATGTATAGTGCAAACACATCATTCAAAAGTCAGACAGCAAACAAGCAACAACTGTTTGTACATTATATCACAAAAAGACTCCTATAACTCAAGAAGAAAAAATTCTTAACAGTTCAATATGAAAATTGGTCAAGAATACTAACAATTCACAGAAAAGAAATGAACATGGATCTTAAGCAGGAAATATGTTCAATCTTACTTGTGTCAACAAATATGCAAATTAATACTACTATGAGATGCCGTTTAAAAAAGTAATAAATAGACAAGAACCTGAAGTTTGACATTGATGAGGATATGGGGGGGTGCTCATACTATAGGGGTGCGAATGTAAAATGATATAACTGCAATGAGGTGCAATCTGGCAATAATCATCAAAATTTTAAAAAAACACTTACCCCACAACCAAACAATTCCATTTCTCAGAAATTTTCTACTCACATCACTGCACATGTACAAAATAAAATATGTGCAGTGCTACTCCTGTTAACACAATACTACAACTGCACAAAATGGTGATTAAGTGACTACATAAAGTATGGCTTGATTCATAAAACGGAATGTATAATTTTAAAACAAAAAAGTATGCTTTTATGTACTGATAAGGAAAGAGTTCTTAAATGTATTGCAAAGTTAAACAAGTAGGGTATGGGTAGTGTTCTATCTTTTATGTAAAATAGGGGAACTAGAATAACAATATATGCATTTATAAATGAAAATAAAAGCACAAAAGGATACACAAAAAACCAGTAATAAAGGTTGTCTGAATGTGGTGGTAAGTTGTAAACTGAATGAGCCAGGGACTATGTCCCTTTCATTTTTTGAGTCATTTGGATGCACTACCTATTTGCCTGTGCTGCTGCTTTGTTCCTGGCTGTCGGGCACATGAGTTTTTTCCAGCCACGGGTACTCTGGGGGTTGTTCTGCTCACTCCTTGATCCTTCACCCAGTCTTGGGCCGTTCTCTCACATGCATGTGCAGCTATCTGGAGTTTTTCAGTGCAGTTGCATCCTCTCTGCGTTGTGTCATGCCACAATGCAGTGGCATGTGACTCACTGTGCTCTAAACTCATTTCCCAAATTCGGGGAGTTCCAGTTGTGTCTCCCTGTGCCACGGCTTAAAACCTCTCCCTACAGTGAGCTGGGGCACTCACAGGACTTACCACGTTTGTCCCCTCTCTCAGGGCTTCCTCACCCAACTGCCTGTTGGCCAATGTATGAAAACTATTATGTCATGTATATTGTCTGATTTTCTAGCTGTTAAGGGAGTAGAGTAAGCCCAACCCTTGTTATTCCATCAGGACTGGGAGTGAAATTATCAGACTGAGTGAAAGATTAAATTCCATGTACTGAAGAATGGTTTTTAGTTACACACAAATACATTTTTGGTTTTCCATACTGATAAAAAAATGTTTCAGAAAAAATACTGCCAGTTGTTACTTTGAGTTAAATTGTACCTATTTATTTGCTACATCTGTGTATTATTCTTTCTAATATTTTGTCAGAGTAGATTGTACATATCATGCTCTTTACCCTCTTCATATGAGTATTTCCTTATAACAAAGGCATTCTTTTACATAACTACAATACAGCTATTTTTAAAATTTGTGTGATTTTTTTAAAACAGGATACAACTGAGGGTCATACATTCATTTACTGGTCACATATACTTAAATCTTCTTTAATCTGGAAACGTTCCACAGCCTTCCTTTGTTTTTCAAGACATTCAGAATTTTGAAGAATACAGGCCAGTTGTTTTGTTGAATGCCACTCAGTTTGGCATTCATGTACTCTGAATGCCACTCAGAGATGGCATTCATCTCTGCTGTTTCCTCATGACTTAATTCAGGTTATAAATTTTCAGGTTACAAATACTACCTACTTCTTGTTGTGCTCTTTTCAAAGTATCAAATCTGGAGGCACATAATGTCCATCTTCCCCCATAGTTATATGGATACCATTTCTCTATTTGTAATTAATAAATAAGTTATGGGAGTTCACTTGAGACCATTTTCATAACTTGTTCCGCCCCTCAACCCAGCTTCAGCATCAATTGATGAAACTTGCCTGAATTAATCCTCATTATGATGACTGCAAAACAGTGATTTTCTATTTCCATCATACCTTCTATATTGATTAGTCAACATTCTTTGGTAAAAAAGAACTTTCCCTTCTCTTTTATTTAATATTATCTTCTTTATTAGTGGATGGACTAATGTATTATTATTTTATTCAGTTATACTCCACTGATTGTTCTTATTTGTTTGATATGCTAACATGGCCAGTGGGAACCCCTTCAAGCTGGCTTCTGGGTCTTTGACATGTCCCCAACATTTTAGGGGAACCTTCTTTCCCTGTTCCAGCCCTGGAATCAGTCGCTTCTCCAAGGAACCCTAGTGAAAACAGTATTTGAGTCTAAGAATTGGGTAGAAGACCAGTATTTTAATTCTAGGAGCACAGCCTTCAGAGTAATTTGTAAAAGATGTACACAAGTTTCTACTCAGGGTGACAACATCTATTTGAGCTCTTAAAAAAGGGGGCATTTTTTAATGGATGAGCAATTATTACCACTGGGCCAACCCACCATAATTTACTCTGTAAACTATAGCTCACTCAACCTTACTTTTGGAAATTAGAAAACTGCAAGTAAACTTTCTGAGTTTTTACAGTCAAGCTGTTCTATCACCCTCTCTGAAGAGGCATCCAACTGTTGTTAAAATAGTCTTCAAATCCCTTAGAAAGTTATTTGTGTTCTGTTTATTACCAAGCTGCCCTGGCTTAAGAGCTGTCTTTTGCACTACCCAAGAAGTACAATATCAAGAGCAAAGGCATCATGCATTAATGAAGTAAAATAAAGAACACAGAATGCAGCCCTGGCTGGCGTAGTTCAGTGGACTGAGCGCAGGCTGCGAACCAAAGTGTCACAGGTTCGATACCCAGTCAGGGTACATGCCTGGGTTGCAGGCCACAACCCCCAGCAACTGCACATTGATGTTTCTCTCTCTCTTTCTCCCTCCCTTCCCTCTCTAAAAATAAATAAATAAAATCTTAAAAAAAATAAATAAGGTTCTTTATTAAAAAAAAGAACACAGAATGCAAAAAGTCTATTTAAGTCCAGACCCAATAAATTAAAACTGTATTTAGTACAGGCAAACCTTCTCTACATGCAAAGGCCAAATCATCAGTCTAAAGTATGAAGTTCATCTGTCAAAGCTACATAAGCAACATGTGAGAGACAGATACAACCGCATCCTCTTCATTAATACACACACATTCATTTGTTCAATACTTTGAGGTCTTTATCCCTGTATGCTTTCTATAAACAAACAAACAAACAAAAAACAACTAAAGGTTAAAAATTTAAGGTAAAAATCTATCATTCTAAAAGAAAAGAAAAAATGGTAAGAAATACTCTGTATAAACATTTTTTAAATAAAAATAACTTGGAGCTATTTCTTTTAAAGTACAAATTTTCTTTCTTAGAACATTTTTCTAAAACTGTCCAGGATGGTCAGTGAGCGCACATGACTCTTATGCACTTCAGTAATAGGAACCTCATCATATACGTATATGGATATAGATACAGATATATGTACAAACACACACACCAGTTCAAGGGAAAAAACTATACCAGGAGTTAGAAGACCTGAGTTCTAATACATCAACTCATATAACCTTAAGTAAATTAGTTAACCTTTACGGGCTATCATGTCATTTGTAAAATGAGGCAGTCAGAGCTGATGGTTTTATAATTGCTTTACTATTTCATCTGTTGTCATATACCATTTCATCATCTATCATAAATTCATAAGGTTAGTGAGGCCTTCCAAAAGCAGGGAATGGAATGTAAGCTATCAGAACAAATGGCTTTGATCAATGCCCTTGAGCTCCTTACTAGCAGAGACTATTATCTCAGAAAAACAACATTTTAAAATAACTAACATTTAATGGAGACTTACAATGTGTGCTAGGTACTGTGCTAAACTCTTTAGATGTATCAACTCATTTAATCCTGAAGACATGCTTACGGTAAGTATTAAAGTCCCTCAGAACAGACAAGGCTTAAAGAGATTAGCTTGCCCTCAGTCATACAGCCAGTGAACCTAACAAGCTGAGACTCAACTGGGGTGATCCTAAAGCTTATGCTCTTAACCACGTTACTTTCTGATAAACAAATTATGAGCCCAATACATTCTTAAATTAATCTCTAGCCAATAACAATTAATCCCCTTCTACTGCAGGAGAGAAAACTGCTTCCAGTTAACAGCCAAACAAGAAACAACCCCAAATTTATCATGTAAACTAAAAGATTATTTAAAGGCTTGCATTTATAAGAGAAATGCTGTTTCTAGTTATAAGTAAACTTTCCCTTTAACAAAACAATAGTCATTGAATCCAAAAGATCAGCAAAGATCTTAAGGGGTGATGTTATTCATTACCCTGCCTTTAGGCAGGCCAAAAAAACCCCTCATCACAACTACCCCAGGCTGAGGGGTTGGGAGCCAGACAGGGACTCTGAGAAAAGAGCTCTCTGTACCATCAGTGCTGGTTCCCAGTCCTCTCACCATTCCCAATTCACTGCACAACAGACCACCGATACAAAGGTTCAGAGACCGAGTCCTAACAACAGACATTCCTTCTTGCTTCCTGCTGGGCCATGTCAACCAGCTTGTCTGCTGACTGGCGGAACAAGTATGATTTTAGTGATAATCCTTTTGCTGGTTATACATCATTTTAAGAAGTAGGATGAATAAGGTCAAGTATATATAAATCCATGCACTAGAAAATGAACAATATGGATTACATTCACCACTCTAAAAGCCCAAAGGGACCCTTTTTGCATATGTTCTCTATATAGTTCCTCAAGATACTGTCTCTCAGATAAGCTCTCAGAAAACTTCCTTTTTAGATGACTGCAAGCCTAAAAACAGCTATTTCTGTTAAGGCATGGATGGTGAAGATATTATATAAAGAAGATTAAACCAGCATCCAAAAATTAAAGGCACAAAATATAAGACAACCAAAAAGCAGTTTAGATGGAATGAATTTTATAAAGAAAACTATGTACTTACTTATAAAGAAAACTATATATTTCAATTATCTTTATTTCTCCTAGAATAAACAAGCTTCTCTAGAATATGTCATCTGACCAAATAGATTTTTGGTTTCATTTATTGCCTAACACTCAAACCCAATTTCAGTCTCCAATCTGAGTTGACAGTCTTTAAAAGCTTAGAGAAATCAGAGGGCTGGGCCCACATGCATTGTGGATCTACTCAGTATTTCATTTGAGCAGGGAAGAAGACAAGAGAATCAGAAAATTACCCTTCTTTGATCCAACCCTGGATGAAGCACTGAAGAATTTCTTCACTGTGGTGACCTTGCGGGTCTTCTCATTGGTTTTCTTTTCTTCGAACTTGGAAAATGTGAGAGACTGAGCCCCTTGGCTGCTCTGACTACTGGCAAAGGCCTCTTCCTCTTCCCGCTGCAGTCTGCAATTCAAGAGAGGATCACTGACCCACACATTCTCCAAGTTTTCCTTGTATCTGAAGGTTATTACTCTATGAATTGAGGAGGATCTAAAATGGGGTTTTTAGAATTAGAGGCTAAACACACCAAATACGTTTGAGGTCTCTGATTTGTAACTATCTTACATGCAACTACAGACTTTTAAAAAAGACTTTATTTATTTATTTATTAAGATTTTATTTATTTATTTTTAGAGAGGGAAGGGAGGGAGAAAGAGAGAGAGAAACATCAATGTGCGGTTGCTGGGGGCTGTGGCCTGCAACTCAAGCATGTGCCCTGACTGGGAATTGAACCTGTGATGCTTTGGTTCGCAGCCCGCACTCAATCCACTGAACTACGCCAGCCAGGGCATATTTATTTTTTTTAGAGAGAGGGGAAGGAAGGGAAAAAGAGAAGGAGAGAAACACTGATGTAAGGAAGAAACACTGATCAGTTGCCTCTTGCACGTGCCCCAATCAAGTAACAAACATGCAACCCAGACATGTACCCTGAATGGGAACTGAACCGGAGACCTTTTGCTTTGTGGCATGATGCCCAACCAGTTGAGCCACACTAGTCAGGGTGTTACTGCAGACTTTAAAAGGGACTTTCTCCACAATCATGTTCATTCAGCAATTTTACTAGGGTTATACAAATGAAATAAAGTCTGGTCCTTTTACCTAATAAGCTCAAGGTCATAAGATAGAAAAAGACAAGTAAATAATCACAATTCAATACGACAGTCCCCATGGTAGAGGGTAAAGCACAAGCGCTAAGAGAACACAGGAAAGAACTGAATCTGCTGGAGGAGTCCAAGAAGGTTTCACACTGGTGACATTTAGGTCTGTCCTACAGGATTAATAAGATTCTGCCAAGTCAGAGGACATTCCAGGGAGAAGGAACTACAAATGTGAAGGCATGTCATTCTTGTTATCAATCAAGTTCGATGCAGTCAGAGCACTGATGGTGTGGTGGACTATACTGCTAGATGTGCCAGGTGGTAAGAAACCTTGACTGACAACCCATTATCATCCTGGATTTCATCATGTGGTAGGAAACCAAAAAAGACTGTCAATCTAATGAGTTACCATGATCAGATCTGTGCTTTAGAAAGATAATACAGGTAGCTGTGGGACAACTTGAGGGGCAAAGAGACTAGAGACAGGAACAATAATTAAGAATACATAGCCCTGGCTGGCGTAGCTCAGTGGACTGAGTGCAGGCTGTGAACCAAAGTGTCGCAGGTTTGATTCTCAGTCAGGGTACATGCCTGGGTTGTAGGCCATGACCCCCAGCAACCGCACATTGATGTTTCTCTCTCTCTATCTCCTTCCCTTCCCTCTCTAAAAATATATAAAATAAAATCTTAAAAAAAAAATACATGACAAAGATTTAAGTGAGAGAAAATAGGGACCTGGAAAACAGGAGAAGGTGAAATTCAAAAGACTATCATTCTAAGCTCAGAAAAATAAAACTTGTGCAATTAGTTGTCAAGAGTGTGAGAGGTGAAGGAGAAATTAAGAATGACTCCACTGTTTTTTAGCCAACTGAATAAACTGAAGTGATGTCATCAACTGATACAAGAAGAGATTTAGGAGGAAATGTTGAAAATGGGGATTAGAGTAAATAAAACCAATAACTTTGGCCTTGACCAGCTGAATTTGAGGTATTTATAATAAATCTCAAAGGCTATCTACAGAACAATGGTTCTCAAAGTGTGGTCCCCAGACAACAGCATCAGCATCATCTAGGAACCTGTTGGAAATGCAAACTTTCAGGCCTCACTCCCAACTTCACCAAGTCAGAGGCTCTGGGGGTGAGGTCCGGCAATCTGTTTTTACAAGATCTCTAGGTGATGTTCATGCCTGTTCAAATTTGAGAAATTGTGCTGTAGGAAACCTCAAGCAAGGTTACAATTGGAAGGAGTAACAAACAGCAACAAAGTCATAGGGAAAGGTGTTAGTCTGAGAATGGAATAGGGATAAGATAGAAGGTACTACATATATTAAGACATTTTGATGTGAAGAGGTGAGAAAGCTAAGAGAATCTCGCTTAGGAGCCTCCAATTTCTTTATGAAATAGGATCAGCCTCTAAGAATATCAGGAAAGCAGAGCGAGCCCTGAGGAGATAGTGAATGTTCTGTGTATGTTCTCTCTGATCGACCATAAAGTCACTGAAGGCAGTGAGTGTACTTCGTAATTCTGTGAGTTCACCACAGACGCTAGCCAAACAGTAACCCAGCAAATGTGGCTGATCAGATATAAAACTAGCAGAAGTTGTCAGAGTTCAGTTTGACTTTCTTTTATTGAGAAGTTTTAGTAACTAGGATGTTCTGACAAAGGATTAACATTATTTGTGGCATTTTATTAGTTCCTATCTTTACCAGCTATGCCAACTTTTATTTTACCATAATCATATTTCTATATCATACAAACTTGTTAAGTAATACTTCTGACTTACAAACCCCATTTTGGAAAAATTAAATTTTTATAATTTAAGAACTATATACAAAAATCAACAGATTTCTCCTACTACATGCTTATGACTGCAACAGATGCCACGCAGAATACATCAAACACGGGAGAAAACAATGCTTGACAAGGGCCATGTGCCAAGCCCTGTGCTAGGTACTGGGCTGGCCAAAAAGTCCATTTGGATTTTTCTGTATGATGGTTCTAGTAGTGCTTAGCTGTCTTTAACTTCATGCAAAACAATTCTATTAGAATGTATTGTGACAGCTGTCATATCAGAGTGCATTTAAAAAAACTTATCAGAATTGGTGATTTTTGTGCAGCCATTTTAATATTAAAGATGAATAAAAATACGCAACATTTTCAGCATATTATTTCAAGAAAGGTAAAAATGCAACTGAAGTGCAAAAAAAAAAAAAGGTTTGTGCAATGTGTAGAGAAGGTGCTGTGACTGATAGAATGTGTCAAAAGTGGTTTGTGAAGTTTCTTGGTACTATTGACATTTTGGACAAGTAATTCTTTGCCGTGGGACTGTCTGATGCACTGGAAGATGTTTAGCAGCACCGCTGGCCTCTACTCATTAGAAGCCAATAGTGAGAGATAGCTGACATACATAAAATATCCAAATCAATAGTCATTGGTGAAAATGAAAAATGTCCTTTAATTTACAGAAAAAATGTAACAGACTTTTTGGCCACCCGAATACATCATGTATATATTACCTCATCTAGCCTCCACCATGAAGGGTGTTTATCTCTACTCTTCTACTCCAAAAACCTTAATGTCTGTATTAGGGAACTAACACACCTCAAACACAAAATACTTAAATGGTGAGACAAAAGAGAAAATTAAGTCACTGAAAGGTATTCATTAAATGTTGACTGAGAAGATGAGGGGAAAAATCTATTCTGTTAATATTAGGCTGACTTGCTAAGAGCACAAAGCAGAAGGGAAAAAATGCATTCTGACAATGACAGTATTATGTATCCAGCTATATCACTGTAAAACCATCCCGAGTTAAGTCCATTTACCGCTCTGCCAGTTCCCAGTCCTCCTGAATCTGCTTCTGCCTGGCTTTGTGGTACTCCTCCCTCCAGCACTTGGAACAGAAACCATGCCAAGCAGGGTTGCCATAGTAACCACATCCTTTCTTGCATAGGAGCTCTGATTGATCCACATGAATTCCTCTGCGTTCAGACTTAAGGCTCATCTTCTTCCTGTTAATGAAGTAACAAACAGGAAAGTGTTGAAAATGAATTACTTTATCAGCACAGCCATTAAGACACACAAAATTGGTCCATATCTTACAGCTATAGAGGAGGGGAGGAGGGAAGAAGTGAAGGAAGAAAAGAGAGAGAAGGAGGTAGAGGAGGAAAAAGGGAAGGGAAAAGACAGTTCAAATACAGCAAATTCCTGACAGTCATGTTAAAGAAAAGACTTCTTCTTCCCTGTCCAATAATATAACAAACACTGTAAGAAAGGCCTAATATGGTATTAAAGACCTAACCATAAAACATAAAACTACAAAACTTCCAGAAGAAAACACAGGAGAAAAACTTCATGACATTGGATTTGGCAATGATTTCTTGGATATTACACCAAAAACACAAGTAACAAAAGCAAAAGTAGACAAATGGGACTGGAGCAAACTTAAAAACTTCTATACCAGGGGTGTCAAACTCATTTTCACCAGGGACCACATCAGCCTTGCAGTTGCCTTCAAATGGCAGAACGTAATTTTAGGACTGTATAAAAGTAACTATTCCATAACAGTTAAGCAAGAGCTTGGTGTTGCCGCCAGGTAGAAACAAGGTGCTGGGCCAGATAAAACCAGGAGGAGGGCCAGATTCGGCCTGAGGGCCTTGTGTTTGCCACCTGTGTTCTATGCAGAAAACACTAGAGTGGCACTAGAATGACATTTTGTCTCACATAAATTAATTCAACATTTACCAAGAAAACGAGTATAATTAAAGCATCAGAACAATCTAAACTCTCTGAGAAAGCATTCAAGGCCCTCAGAAATCTAGGACAAATTAACATGAGACTACTTTTTGCTACCACTCACTACATACACAATATTATGACAGGTACTTAATATAATTATTTATAGCAAAAAAAACCCCACCAAAACCCAAGCAGACATTATCTTCATTTTATTAGATGTGAAACCTGAGGTTGAGAGACATTTTCAAAAGTACATAAATACCACTGAAAACGAGCAAAAGAGAAAGGATTCAAAACAAGGTGAGCTCCCAAAATCCTTATACCACATTGTACCCAATCTACTTGTCCAAACTCTGCTCACATCCCTGAGCACAGCAATATTCAATCATGTGACCATCTTCTAAACAAACCATGGATGTTTGTGCCTCAGCCTAGAATTCCTGCCTATAGTTTTATTCTGCTTTTTCAAAGATGATTCACTATTCGAAGCTCATAAGCTTCCCATGAGCTTCTTTCCATCCAGAATTAACCTTGACCCTCCATTCTCATAATACTGCTTATTTACGAACCAGTTATATCCATTCTGCTTCATTACAGAGTCATTTCTATGTCTGACCTCCTCCCACCTAGATTAGAAGCATCTTGAGGAGCTGCTTTATATCCCCAGCAGAACACAGTGTGTGCTAAGGGAGGCAGGGCTGTTCTCCACTCAGTCTTTATTTGAACAGCGAATAAGCTTTCCTTTCAGATTTGATAACAAACTTAAAGACTTATGTTAGATATAAGTCAGAGCGAGAAGCCAATAAAAAAGTATGTTATATTGAAGAGAAATTTTTAGCTGTGATTTTCCTCTTTAGACTATCAGCAAAATAATCTGAGTTTTCTGCACAGCTATTATCTAACAAGATTCCTTACTTGGCAAGTTAAATGTGTTAAGGTAGTCTTATCTCTGGCAATCGACTGGATCTTACCAATCCTGTTAGGTTGATTCATTTTACCATTCACTATTTTATTCTTGCTGCTGCCACGTTATAGTTGTTAAGGGAGTGAGGAAGAACAGAACCACTAAGCGTTCTGTAAGAGGGGGTGGGGGTTGGGGGGTGGCTCTTTCTCTCTGCTAGTATATAGGAACAGATAATACTGGTTTGCACAGAGAGAGATAAACAGTTGCAGAGAACCTACTTGTATCAAATACTTATAAAATGTAAATCAATTATTCATCAAAGACAAAAAATTAGTATCTTCATTTCTAAGTTGAGTAAACAAAGCTTGAAGAGGTCAGACAACTGTCTAAGGTCACACATATTACAATTAAGATTTGAAATAATACTTTAACAAGTTTCTAAATCTGACTTCTTTTCTACACCATATGTTATTTGCTCATACCACCAGGATTATATTGTAAATTGCTACCCAACAAGTTTCATTTAAATTCATAGAATAAAATGGTCCCCATTCTTCTTCCTGTAAATAAACCGCCAAACAAGCACAGAAAAAAGGGGCACTCCACAACATGTATTCATGAAACTCACATGTCCAGACAAAATTAAGTCTTGTATGTTGGGGATCCTACAATAATTTAACACAACTATTTACTAAGTGCCAAGTGTGTGCACAGAACAAGGTAATACCACTGTTAATACAAATGACAGAACATACTCTTCCCCACAGGCCCCTCCCCTCCAAAAAGCCAAGCATACTGAGCAATGCAGAAAGACACAGAGCTATGAAATTGAGGGGAAGGAAAAGGTAAGGTCATTCTGACTTAGGGAGTACGAGCAGACCACTTGGGCCAGGGGATGCAGGTATAGACCTGAAAAAGTTTTGCAACTTAAGAGGGTCTTGGAAGAATGATATAAAAGTAGAGGGACATTCTAGACAGGAAGAACATCTTTTACATAAAGCTCGGAAACAGGAAGGCAAATGGAGCATGAACAATGTCGTATAAGTAGGAGGTTAACTGAAGAAGTTAGGTGTGAGGTCAAATATGACTGCTTTTTAAAATTCTGGGCTACAGAGTCTAGATTGAAGCATCACTGGAAGCTCTTGGAAAGCATGATAAGATCTCTATTTTAAGACATTAAAACTTGAGAGATGAAGTTCTGTCTTATATCACATAAAGTGAGATGGACAATAAATAATCACCTCCAAAATCAGCTATAAAAATGGACAAAACTTCCTCTCTGCTGACAAATCAATGTGTTGGCCAAGGAATGCATTTAGCTCCAGGCCACCAGTTCTGCTGGCCTCTCTCATGGCTCCTCCGTGTATGCACAGGCTCTGTTGGCCAGAGTGGAAGGAAACCTTACAGGCTGGCAGTGTTTGCACACAAATTCTTTGTCTAAACAAACAACCTTGAGCTGACCATTAAGGTATTATGGTATGTAAGCACAGGGGTGACCCTTAGAAGGAAGTCAAGTTTAAAAATAAAAACAAGAAAAAAAAAAAACTGAACAAAGACATCAGGGGCCATATGAAATCTCTCCAGAGATACCACAGATTTAGTCCAGCTATAAAACTTGACGGTACACACTGAGCACTACTTTGGGGGAGTCTCAAAAGCAAAAGAGAGGAGAAGAATCGGGGAAGAAGACCAGAATTCAACATATCACCAAACTCTCAGTGAGTTTACCATTCTCTCCTCCAGTATCACCAAGCCAATCCAAAAATGCACACCAAGGCACAGACACAGTGCCTCTAATTCAGGCTCAAGGACGGAGAAAGGGAAACTCCTAACACTGAGAGAAAATATGAAAGTCCCTCCATTTAATTGTTTTTCCCCTTCTCTTGAGCCACAGCACCCAAGCAACCACATGCAGAACTGGCTGGAAAGGCAGACTGTAGAAATGAAACTCCAAGGAAGGGGAACTATCTATTTTTCCCACTCTCCATCCTTCCCATTTTTTGGCCCCAAATGTGCAAACAGTTGTGGAAGTACAATGTTCATGAGAGAGTGGGGTAACTAACTGTACCATTTTCTGGCCAGAGGAAAAGAAAGATGAGAATCTAGGAAATTAAAAAAAAAAAAGTGTAGGAGAAGGCACTGACAAGGAGAACTTGAAAAAGCAACCTAAAAAGGTTGTTGGTGAACTCCAGGGCTCACCCCTGGCTGTGCATAGGACATCTGATGCTATTCAGGACAAAAGACTAAAATTCAAACTAACAGAGACCACCACACAAGTTTCAGACTGGCACAGTCATAACACAGATGGATACTACTGCAAAGGCCTTGAAAAACGAACTGACATTGGGAACATGGCCCACAGAAAGTGGATTAGAACTTGCAGCCCAATGGGCAACAAAACTAGAAACATTTGCTCTGCAAATGACACCACTAAGAAAATAAGACGACATACTACAGACTGGTAGAAAATACTTGAGATCACATATTTGACAAAAGAGTTGCATCTAGAAAATATAAAGAATGCTCAAACATTAACAGTAAGAAAAACCACCCAATTACAAAATGGGCAAAAAGACCTGAAAGACAGTAATCTAAAGAAGACCAATGTGCTAGGAGACAATTCTCACATTTCAGTCCCAGGGGCTTCTGCAAACATCCTCATATCTAATATTCTTAAAAGAAACACATAATTATCTCCCTCTGGAGCCTAGGGCAAGTTTGTTTACTGTCCAGTTCAATAGATAAAATGTTTCCCTCAGGTCAGAGTTTGAGCAGATCTGTTTTCTGCCTTTTATAACAGATTTGGCTTCCCTAAGCTTGGGTTCCTCAGCTGTGACATCACCCCTCATGGGACTTGGGAGTAAAGGTAGACCATGTGAAGATGAAGTTTGTTTTGTTGAAGTCCTGTGAATGATTAAGTACTTTGTCTCTGACTCAGAATCTCATGTCTTCTGCCAGCATCCATGAATCTATGGCAGGATCAAGTTACCTGCAAGCAGGGTGGAAACTTGGGTCCTTCACAGTTCTTGATGACATGGCAAATAAGCACGTGGAAAGTTGCTCAACATCATCATCCATGACAGAAATGCACATTAAAACCACCATGAGATATCACTATACACTTACTAGAACGGCTAAAATTTAAAATATCAATACCAAACAGCAGCCAGGATGCAGCAACTAAACACTCACATCCCTAGTGGAATGCGAACAGCACAGCTATCATGAAAAACAGTATGACATTTTCATAAAAGTTAAACATGCACTTACCATACAACCCAGCAATCCTGCTCCTGGTTATTTCCTCCAAAGAAACAACTGATGTTCACTCAAAGCTCTATACATAAATATTTCCAGCAGCATTTCTCAGGACCATTAAAAAAAGGAAACTACCAAATTATCCTTCAATGAGTGAATGGATAAACACACTGTGTAGTATAGCCATGCAATAGATGCTCCTCAGCAAAAAAAAAAAAAAAGAATGAGGGGCAGTACCTACCCAGGCACCAACTTGGATGAATCTCAAAGGCTTTATGCTGGGTGAATGAAGCCAGCTGTAAAAGTTCACATATTGTATGATCAGTGTTTCTTAGGAATTAAGACTGGGGGGAGGGTATCTATAAAAAAATTACACCTAAAATTACACTATAAAAATATTACGTTTTTGGGAGGTGATAGAACTATTCTGTATTCAGGTGTTTACATAAATCTATAAATGTTTTAAAATTCACAGAACCATGCACTCCCCCCAAATTCAATTTTACTGTATGATTAAAAAAAAAAAAAAACTTGAGAGGCAATTTCTAGGTTGGATTGAGGGGAAAATGCAGAACAGGAGACAGGGATCGTGACCAAGAGACAACTACAGTAAGAAGTTATAATAACAGAGGTGTCAGTAATACAGTGGGAATGGGAAGGGGATGGTGGCAATGCACTTTGCAGGTGAGATGGCTAACAGTTAACGAATGAGGCATGGCAGGGAGACTTGCAAGTTTATAAATGCTCTTTACTGCCTCTACGAGATTAAAGCCCTCCAGTATTTATTTGTTTGTTTCTTATTAGTTTAGCTTTTTAAAAAAGATTTTATTTATTTATTTTCAGAAAGAGGGGAAAGGAGGGAGAACAAGAAGGAGAGAAACACGGATGAACAAGAGAAACATCAATCAATTGCCTTTTGCATGCCGCCAAATGGGGACCTGGCCTGCAACCCAGGCATATGCCCTGACCAGGAATAAAACCTGTGACCCGTGACCTTTCGGTTCTCAGGTCGGCACCCAATCCTGAGCCACACCAGCCAGGAAGCCCTCCAGTATTTAGATTTAACATACTTATTTAGTAGATGAGGTTGAGACAGAAAGAATAACTAAATCTAGCCAGAGTCCAGATGTTACATTGAAGAAACTTTAAAGACCATCTACTTACTCCTCTTACAATAAAGATGAAGACACTGAGACTGAGAAGTTACAGTTCGGTCAATCAAAAGGTAGTAAGTGACAGGGACAGCACTAGAGCCTATAAATACTAAGTCCTAGAGTTCCATCAAACTATTTTGAGAGTCTGAACTAATCTTTCACTATTATCATCCTGTAGTCCCTTTCTTCAATTCCAAGAGGAATGGGCAAAAAGAAATGTCCATTTTCCTTATATCAGAATTCAGTAACAGTGGTAGGGTCTGGGGAAGGAGCGGCAGGCACCATGCCCAGCCGTGAAGGTGGCAAGAAGAAGCCCCTGAAACAGCCCAAGAAGCAGGCCAAGGAAGATAAGGCATTTAAGCAGAAGCAAAAAGAGGAGCAGAAGAAACTTGAGGAGCTAAAAGCGAAGGCCGCGAGGAAGGGCCCCCTGGCCACAGGTGGAATTAAGAAATCTGGCAAAAAGTGAGCTGTTCCTGTGATTGGGGCACTGGTGATCCTTCATTCCCTTCCTGCTTTAACATCTGGATTCCTAGTCATAACATCTCTTGCCACCTGTAGCTAGAATGAAGTGTCATCTGGGAGCCTGTTGTACATTTAAGAATAAACTTTTGTAAAAAAAAAAAAAGAAAAAAGAGTTCAGTAAGTTTTTAAATTTTAACACTACAAATACCATAGCACAGGTCTGTGTCACTAAAATGAAAACATTTTAGTGAGTCTGCCTAGCACATGAGTCAGCAACTTCCCTTTTCTTGGGCAAATGTTACCCCAACCCACAATGGTAGACTGCCAGTAGCCATGTTTGTCTACCTGCCACTTCAGGGCCAGAACTGACTGAACCAGAGATGGGTATGTGACCCAAACTGGAGTTCTGGAAGTGAATTTAATCTGGGCTGTTCTGTTGAGTGATGGAGGAGGTATGCCATGACCGTCTTCCTTCAAGTGACCTGAGTAACAGGATAACCAGTCTGAAGAGTGAGTAGATGCACACCAAGAAGCAGAGAAAAGAGGCAGAAGAAAAACACTCTCTAGGTGTTGAGAAATTTCCATTTCTCAGTTTCAGTCCATTCCAAGGTTCAGCTGCCTGCCTACCCTCAGATTCTGAGACACACTCCTTGATCCCTCACTGTTCTTTCCTTTTCTTCTTATACTTGTTCCAATAAAGCTTATTTAACTGCACCCAAAGACTTGTCCAGGTGCTATTCTAGGGCTAGAAAAATATAACAGGATTGCTGTGACTACTCAACATATAACTAAGAGCTCAATAGGTATTAAGCTAAAAACAATAAGAGTAGCTATAAGTCTATGAAGACCAATTTGGTGTGGACATCAGATCATAATGATCAGTCAAATCTGCATTCAAATACCAGCTCTGCCACTTATCAGAAACATGACTTCGGACCAATTAATATTTCTGAAACTTCCACTCATAGCTCTCTGTCTAACTTCTACTCCTATCATTCTCAACCTTTTCACAAATCTAAGCCCCACAGCCTTTGTGCTCCCGTGACTTTTGCTCTCTGGTGTTACACCTGTGATTATATTACCTTACATGGCAAAAATTTGCAGAAAATTACGGTTATGAATCAGCAGACCTTAAAATAGGGAGATTGTTCTGGATTATCCAGGTGGGCACAACATAAGCACATTAGTCCTAAATGCAAAAAAACCCAGAACAGTCAAAACAATCTTGAAAAAAGAATATAGGAGGACTTACAGTTTCCAATTTCAAAACTTACCATGAAGCCATGATAATCAAAGCAGTGTGGTACTAGTACAAGGACAGACATATGGATCAATGGAACAGAATTGAGACCAGAAATAAACCCACACATTTACATTACCACAAGGGTGCCAAGACTATCCAATGAAAACAGAAGAATCTTTCAGTACATGGCACTGGGACAATTGGGTAGCCAGGTGCAAAAGAATGAAGTCAGGCCTTTACCTCACACCATATACAAAAAACAACTCAAAATGGATCAAAGACCTACATGCAAAAGCTAAAACCATAAAAACTCTTAGAAAAGAATTCTTAGATGACACCGAAATCAAGAGCAACAAAAGAAATATAAACTGTACTTCATCAAAACTAAAACTTTTGTGTTTCCAAGGACCTCATCAAGAAAGAAAAAAGATAACCCAAAGAGTGGGACAAAATATTTGCAAATTATGTATCTGATAGAGAATTTGTATGAAGAATATATAAGGGAGGACAAAAGCAGGTTTACAGCTGTGGGTATACAAAACAGTTTATTTTTGTATTATTATTTGTTCATTATTGTATTATTTTCTGTATAAACTATAAACCTACTCTTGCCCACCCTGTATAAAGAACTGTTATAACTCAATATTTAAAAAATAAATAACCTAATTTTTAATGGGTAAAAAGATCTGAATAGACACTTCCTCAAGGAAGACATACAAATGGTCAATAAGCACACACAAAAAATATGTTTGACTTCATCAGTCATCAATGAAATGCAAATCAAAAACCCACAATGAGATACCACTTCACATCCAGTAGGATAACAAAGTCAGGTGATAAGGTTAACAAAACCCTGGCTGGTGTAGTTCAGTGGATTGAGCACAGGCTTGCAAATCAAAGGGTTGCCAGTTCAATTTCCAGTCAGGGCACAAGCCTAGATTGCAGGCCAGGTCCCCAGTAGGGGGCACACAAGGGGCAACCACACACTCATGTTTCTCTTTCTCCTTCCCTTCCCCTCTCTTTAAAAATAAATAAAATCTTTTAAAAAGCAAAAAAAGAAAACAATTTTTAAAAAAGAAGTGTTAATAAGGATGTGGAAAAATTAGAACCCCCATGCACTGCTGGTGGGAATGTAAAATGGCGCAGCCACCTTTGGAAACCATCTGACAGTTCCTCAAATGATTAAACAGAGTTATGATATGACCCAGTGATCCCACTCCAAGGTTTTTACCCAAGAGAAATAAAAACTTATGTCTACACAGAAACTTGTACATGAACGTTTATAGCAGCGCTATTCGTAATAGCCAAAAGGTGGAAACACCCAAATGTCCATCAACTGACAAATGGCTAAACAAAATGTAGTGTATCACACAATGCAGGTATTAGTCATAAAGAGAAAAGAACTGATATGCCACAATTAACCTTGAAAACATGATGCTAAGTGAAAGCAGCCACTTATAAAGATCACATATCATATGATCCCATTCACATGAACGTCCAGAACAGGGAACTCTACAAAGACAGAAAGTCTTTAGAGTGGTTGCTTAGGATGAAGTGGGAAGGGAGGGAATGAGTGTAGGAGATAGCTAAAGGTTATGGGGTTTCTGAGGTGATGAACATGTTCTGAAGTTGACCATGCTGGTGGTTGCCACTGAATTATGCCCTTTAGGTGGATGAATTATACCTCAATAAAATTGTTTATAAAATGCAAATCAGAAGAGGAGGGCATAATGGAATATCAGGGCACTACTGTTGGCATTGAAGGTGAAGAGCTTTCAAAGTCTCTTTGAATTATAATTCAAAGAATGTGGGTAGCTTCTAGAAGCTGAGAATGACCCATGGCTGAGAGCCAGCAAAGAAATGAAGAATTCAGTCCTGTATCCACTTGGAACTCAATTCTGCCAAAGTGAGTATGTCTGGAAGCAGATTCTCCCCACAGTCTACAGATAAGAGCCCAGGCTGGTGAATCCCTTACCTTTGACCTCTTGATATCCTTAACACAGTACCCAGCTGAGCTGGAGTTCTTACAGGACTTCAAGATAATAAATGGGTGTTGTTTAAAGCTGCTAAGTTGGTAGTAATTTGTTACCGCAACAGAAAACTGTTACAGGCCTCTGTTACATTTCTCTGGCCTTCGCACAGGTGTTTTAATGCCTAGAATGCTGTACCCTTAGCTGTTCATATGGTGATTTCTCTCTCATCATTTAGGCCTCAGTTTTCACATCACACTATCAGAAAGGCCTTCCCTGGCCACTCTATGTAAAGCAGTACCTAACCTTGAAGGCGGGGGTGGGGTGGAGGTAGGAATGTAAATGGGCTGGTTCCACACCTGCATGCAGCAGATAAAAATTGGGAGGGATATCTCAGGATTGAGGGGTCCCAGCCCACACTACGACCCAGGCCAGGGTTCCACTGCCAGGAAGAAAAGACTCCCTAACTTTTGGCTGTAAAAACCAGCAGGGACTGAGACTGTGGATGGCAGAAACTGCCAGACTCCTAAGCAATTTTATTCAAAGGGCCTGAGCACAGACTTACTCAGACTCACTCCGAGATCCAGTGCCAGGGCAGCAAATGGAAAGGCATCAGAGACAAACAGGGAGGAAATGAATTGTCCAGCATCAGAGTGAGAGCTGGGGGGCCAGCTTTCTCCCAGACAGAGGTGCTGTCAGAGGCCACTGTTCCTTTTCTGAGTCCTCCCCCAACAGAGTCACAAAGATGGCAGGCAAACACAGTATCTAAGACATCATCAACCAGGCTCATACTGTTGGCCCATCCTGATGATTCCCTGAGGACCTACCACACCCAACTTTCAGGCCTACCCAAGCTGTTTCCAGTGGCTTTTCCATCTGAATGGCTTGTCTTGGCCCATGCTTCAGCCTTTCCTAAATTTTCTCAAACAAGCAGGACCTGGCTTCAGCAATCTCCAAATCTCTAAGTTGCCCCAGGCCCAGGACTAGCACCAGCCAGCCTTGGTTCACAGGTTGGCCTCTCCTGGGCACCTCCAAGCCCAACACAAGTAGCAGCCATCTGCAGATTGCTCTGTAACTACTGTTGAGTGAACCTGGACAGAATAAAGGCAGTGGTTGACCTTGAACATGCCAACAGCAATCAAGGCTCAACTACAACAGGAGGGTGTGCTCAGCCCACACAATGGGTGCACCTTAGGTACCCAGCTTGGGTAAAAGAAGAGGCTGTGCCACTAGACATTACAGGAAACCTGCTACATTAAGCCACTCTCTCAAGCCTGGGAGATGGGGTAGCTTTACCTAATATATAAAAAATAAAAGTAGTACCTACCCCAAGCTACCCAACCCTCACCTCTACCCTGGGCCCAGCACTGTTTCTCCACATCCTATCTGTTTCTAACAAGAGGGAATAAGGAAAGGTGTGCAGTAAAGAGTCAGCTAAGCAGACCTGGGTTACATGAATCATGTATATATTCTCAGAAGGGCATGCTGAGTGACTGGCTCTTGGCCAGCTGCGGGGAACTGAGGTCTTGAAGTGTCCTTATATACTAACTGATAAGGGTGTTTTACTTGCATGAGGCCTTAAACTACACTGTACCAACTTGTCTAGATAGTCTGTATAAACAGTGTAATGCTTTCCTTCTGGGGCCTGAAGTAATAGCAACTATAGTTTATCACAAAGTCACTTGTGCCTATGTGACCAGCCTCCAATAAAAACCCTGGAATCCTAGGTTTAAGTCAGCTTCCCTAACAGAAAAAACACATCACACATGCTACTACAGTTTGTTGCTGGAGGATTAAATGCACCCTGTGCAACTTCACTGGTCTGAAAA